TTAACAAAAATAAGTATAAATAGACTTTCATCATAATCAGATGCTCTCACTAAACTTTCCTAAAACCAATACGTGAAGCAGTGTCAGTGAGGCAGTTAATTCTAAATAAGATCAGCACTCAAAATAAAATATCAAAGTTCTACATTCTAAAGCCTTCAGTTTCTGAATACTGTCCATTGCTATAGCTCCATTAATCTTTCTCACTGTGTATTCATTAAATAACAGCAGAGTAAATCAAAATACTAATTTAACTCAGTGTGTACACCAGAGTATTTGTTACACTGCATTTTACTGAACATCCCATGAATCTACTCATAAAAACAACACACAGTAAGCCACCAATGGCATAACAACGAACTTAAATAAAAAGCAAAAATTAACACATATATTTAGAATCTGGCTCTTCTCACCTGAAAGCTATTATAAATGAAATGAATCGATTAACTTCCAAAAATTCTAGATCCTCTATATAAATAAGGCCCATAACTGATCAATTCAGAGGCTTCTTTTAAAAGTTTTTAAGTTTCATCATTGGGGGTATCAGAGAAAAAAGGAAAGTTGTTCATAAGAATAAAGTTCTTAAAATTATTATTGCTTAGCTCACAAATATAATAAGGTGCTTCCACTCTCAAGCGATAGAGGAAAAAACAAGTTCTTTGGAGGCAGGGATGAATCTTCATCTGAACATGCCATGTGACCAATCACGAATTTGATGAGACTCTTGGAAAAATACACTGGCAGCACTTGAGGAGCTGGCCAGCTGCTTAGATAACAAGGAAACAGACCGTGGTCTCAACATGTGCTCCTCTTGATTTCAGAACCAAATTCAGCAACCCCTCCTAGCCACTGAGATACTACAGTTATAAAATCAGATCACCAGGATTAAATTGGATTGGACATTCAGAAAACAATATATGTAACCGCTATCACTCACATCACAAATTATAGACCATATATTTTTAAATCACAGTCTCTGGATGTGCATCTCAAAATACCCGCAGAGAATTCAAGAATCTGGTGACTTTTAGCCAACACTTCTGACAGACTGAACTCTGAAGCTTTCTTAGCAAAAGTAGGAAGGAAACCAAATAACACTGTCTTTGGTGTTTGGTGGGAGAGCACACCATCTCCCATAATATGAATTTGTTTAAAATTAAGACCGTAAAAAAAAAAAATAAAAAAATAAAAACTGAAGAATGAGATGGAAGTCTAGCTCTGCAATTTCAAAAAATGTTAAACTCAAGCTGCACCAAGTAAAACATCACACTGGTGAACTTTAAATGTAGGGCACAAACCTGACAAAAAAGAATAACAGGAAAAAATATATAGGTCATACCTCAACAAATGCCACAACCATTTTTTTTCAGAGGAGACAGGTATCATTTAAAATCATTTGTTAATTTCGGGGTGACCTTGGTGGCTCAGTTGGTTAAGTATCCGGTTCCTAATTTCTGCTCAGGTCATGACATCAAGGTTGTGAGATCAAGGGCCTGCATGGGGCTCTGCGTTCAGTGCAGCGTGGGCTAAAGATTCTCTCTCTCCATCTGCCCCTACTGTCTCTCTCTCTCTAAAATATATAAAATCTGCCAAAAAAAATAAAATAATAAAAAATAAAATCATGTGTTAATTTAGATACTGGCTTTAAAGTGTTGTTTTGTTGTTGTTGTTTTGGTCACAGGGAGAGAGAAAGCGAGAGAGCACGCGCACATGGGAGCACGCAAGCAGGGAAAATCAGAGGCAAAGGGAGAAGCAGGTCCCTGCTGAGCAACAAGCCCAATGAGGGACTCGATCCCAGGATCCTGGGATAATGACCTGCACCAAAGACAGACATTTAACTGACTGAGCCACCTAGGTGTCCCACCTTACCAGTGTTTTGTAAGGAAAAAAGAAAGGGGATAAAATGAAAGCACTTTTAAATAAGCAAAGAGGAAAATGTGTGTATTACTTTGCTAATATATAAATTATATCATGTTATTTTATATTTTATATTGAGGATAAGCCTGGTTTAAAACAGGTTTGTTCAACAGATCTACTCCTTGAAAACAACAAATATGATTTGAGTGTTTAACGGACTTTAAGGAAATGTTAACCTTGGACTAACCACCAAGAAAGAGAAGAGATGCATAAAGCAAGCAGAGACTGACCTAAAAGATGGGTCTATTGGCTTAGTCTATTTCTTTTTCTTTTTCTTTTTTCTTTTCTTTTTTTAGAGAGAGAGAGACAGCACAAGCACACAAGCAGGGGGAGCTGCCAGCTGAGTAAGGAGTGCAATGACGGGCTCAATCCCAGGACCCTGAGATTACTACCCAAACTGAAGCCACATGCTTAACCAACTGAGCTACCCAGATGCCCCTAGCTTTGTCTATTTCTGTTAGCTTAGTCGATCTGCTTACAGCCAGAATTTCCAAGCATTAAACTCATTGACCGGTAGAGCTCTTAGCTCTGAGTTGAATGGAAGCCCTAAGTAGTTTTCTTACTCCACCATCAGCCATCATCTACTACTAAGGGCTGCACATATCAATGGGACACTGAGGACCTAAGTCCTTTAACAAACACCAGCTAAAGAAAACTGAACTAGCTGGTCATACCAATGAGTCTCTAAAGAAAATTCAAAACAAAACAAAAAAGTCTATCAAGTTCCTTCCACATATGGAACTTTTCCCCATACTTCAAATTACTGATATATGTCACATTTTTAAGGTAAAAGACCTGAAAACAGTCAGCAAGAACATATATGGAACTGCATGGCCAAAGAGATACAAATGGGAAAGCAGGAGTTATTACTGAACAGTTCTTCTTGGCTGAAAAATACAAGTAATAAGAAGAATAAAGGTAGAAAGGTAGATTGGGGACTTATCTATAAGATATTTGGTATATTGGGACTCCTGGGTGGCTCAGTGGGTTAAGGCGCTGCCTTCAGCTCAGGTCATGATCCCAGAGTCCTGGGATGAAGTCCCACATCCAGCTCCTCGCTCAGCGGGAGTCTGCTTCTCCCTCTGCCTCTGCCTGTCACTCTGCCTGCTTGTGTTCTCTCTCTCTCTCTGACAAATAAATAAAAATCTTTAAAAAAAAATTTGGTATATTTGTAATAAAACACTAGTATAAATGTTGGGAGAATTTAGGCAAGGCCTAAAAATTAAAAACATTTCTTTCCAAGCCTGAATCCAACTGTATAAGAAAAAAAGTGTAGTTTTGTTACTAGAAGAAAGAGAAATCAGAAGGTTAGCAGACTGAGCTTGGGTTTGCCAGTGAGTTCACTTTTAATAGTGGCAAAGATAACCCTACTTCAGTTTCCCCCAGAGATATGAATAACTCCCGTGTTTACCTTAATTATAACCTTCGTGGAGAAAGCACTCTGAATTAGCACCTTGATTCCAAGGCAATCTGATGTTCGGTTATAAGCATTTTTTATGTCATTTATTGAGTGCTGTGTGCCAGATATCCTGCAACCTACTCTACATGGATTATATTAATAACACCCCAAAAAACTATTCACAAAACCAAAAATTATACAGCTGGCAAAGAATTTCTGATGTTTCCAACTTAGGGAAATGAAGAGTGTTTCAAGTTTCCATGAAAAGTAAGGGGGGATATGTATATCAACTGCTTGATTAAAAACATAAACCAGGGACGCCTGGGTGGCTCAGACCCTTAAGTGTCTGTCTTCATCTCAGGTCATGATCCTGAGGTCCTGGGACCATCCAGCCCCACATAGGGCTCCCTGCTCAACGGGGAGCCTGTTTCTCCCCCTGCCTGCTCTCCTCCTGGTTGTGCTCTCTCTCTCTCTCTCAAATAAATCAATAAAATCTTTTTAAAAATAAATAAATAAAAGCATAAATGAACTAAAATCTTTGCCAGGACTGAGAATACAGAAAACAGCAGTGAGCAACAGCATATACAGTGCATCCTCAAGAGAGCATAAATCCACTGTAATAATATCCAAGACACAAGACATAACCATTTCTTGCAATTTTCCCCTAAAAACAGAAAGAACAAAATAGCAGCTGTGAAATCACCCAGACTACTAAAAACAGGGCTCGGCACCTCTTAAAACAAAACAAAACAAAACACCTATCTCCTAATCAGCAGTACGTGCCAAAAAACGCCAAGTCCCCACAGACGAGGCATTCATGGTAGGGCACAGAGGCACAACAGGATGACAGTGACTATCATGTGGCCAGAAACCAATCCGTCAGCAATTTGTCTGTTGCACGTGAGATCACTTTCTCTCTGGAGGACGCGCGTTCCTGGGGCGGATGGACCAGGTGTGGCAAGCCCCCGCCCGGAACAATCGCCGGGTGGTGCCTCTCGGAGCGCGAGCCCACATCCAGCCTCCCCACAGGTAGAAGCAGCCCAGCAAGCAGGAGGAAATATTTCCAAGCCGACAGATGCAGGAACTGAAAAAGGAGGTCACGATGCTGAGAGAATAGATTTAACCCTTTGGTCCCTGGGAACCGGGAAGACTAGAGGGGAGCGCGGCAGAGCCCTCGGGGTCGGGGGATTCTTTCAGCGGGGCGGCCGTTTGGGGCGGGAAGGCCTCCCTGTCTGTCCTTCCAGGGCTCCCTCCAGCCCTCAGATGGTGCCAGACTTCTGCAGACAGCCCAGCCACCTCGTCAGGAAGAAACTGCTCTGCGGCTGCCCCCAACACCTTCACCGCCCGGAACCCGCAATCCTCCTCCATTCGGTTTCCTTCCAAGGTTCCTGCCCGTGGACAGTGATGGGCGGACCTCGTCAACAACAGACCCCAAGCTCAACTTTGCAACGCTCCCCCGCCGCCAGCCCCCGCCTCCTTCTGCTCAGGCCGGCCACGTCCCGGCTGCAGCCCCTCAGCCTCCGGCGCGCAGAGGCCCGGGAGCCCGAGCCCCCGGCCCGGGGCCTGCGGGGGGCTGCAGACAAAGAGGCTGCGGCGCGCCGCGGCCGCCAGGACCGTCCCCTCGGGGACAGCTCCGCGCCACCACCATCCCCAACCCCGCTCGCGCGCCGCAGCCGCCTCGTCTCACCGGTGGCCCCCGGGGCCCGGGCTCCTGAGCCTGCCGCTGCAGCCGCCCGACGAACAATGGCAGGAGAAGGCGCCGGCGCCGAGATTCGGGCCCTCTGCGGCTCGCGGGCCCGCCGGCTGCTGGTGGACTGACTGACTGACTAACCCACTGGCGGAGGGAGGGAGGAAGGGAGCGAGGGAGCGAGGGAGCGAGCGAGCAGGCGGCCCCGGCGCGCGCCCTCCCGCCTTCGCTCTGCGAGGCGAGGCCGCCCGGCCCGCAGCCAGCCAGCCCGCGCGCGCCCCTCCCCCTCCATTCGCCACAACATTGTAGTAAATTTCTATTGGACGGCGCCTGAGGGAGGGAGGGGGCCGGGCTCACGGCCCGCCAGCCCATTGGCTGAGGACAAGTTCTGGGCTTCTCTAGTTTCCCCCTCCTCTAGGCGGGTAAGGGCCGGGGAAGAGAAGGAAAAAGAGGGGAAAAGGCAAGGGGCTGGCCACATATGCGCAAGCGCAAGTCGAACTTGCTCGAGAGTCCAGGGGTTCCCGGCCCCTGCAGTATCCACGTGGGGAATGAGGCAGCTAGTGCCCGGGACCGAGGTGAGGCCCTTTCCACCCAGAGGACGCCCAGGTAGGAGGCTGAGATTTGAAAGCCTCAAGGAAAACCGAGGCTTCTGCCAGCTGACTGCCCACTAATGCACTTCGTGACCTTGGGTAAGCCACTCAGCTTCTCTGGGCCACAGTTTCCCCATCTACTAACTTGATGGTCTCTAGGTGCCATTCACACCCTGACATTCGTGGAGGCCTTACCTCTCCTGGCAATTGTGTAAGGCCTGAAAGCTAGAATGTTATGGCCACGCCAAGATTTCACCTGTCTTTTGCATTTAAGGACCTTCCAGTTCCACCTCGGCACCCTCAAAATCATAAAGGCCTAGCTTCCAAGATCTGCGCCCCAGCTGAATTTAGGGTTGCTCTGACAGTTGCCTGATGTGCCTTTATTTCCTTTCAGAAGTTTCAGAGGCCCCTTGACCCTTCGTACTCCCTGCCAGGCTGGACTCTGAAAAGGCTGGGACCCCACACAGCAGAATGAAGGCTCATGTTTTAAGCACGGTCCCTATACGGTAAAAAAGGTTCTGATATTCCCATTCTAGAGATGAAGACACTCAGGCAGAGAGGTTTAGACCTGCCAGGATAAGAAGCCAGGCCATCTGACATCAGAACCTGCCTATGCCAGCTTCACTGTCTCCTGGTATCTGATCCCAGCCCCCTCCCATCCACAGCTCAGCCTCTAGAAACAGACACCTGGGGTTCAGTTCCCAGCCTCCAGCCCTCCCTCACTGTTTGGACTTCTCTGTGTCTGTTTCTAACCCCATAAAAGGGGATAATGATAGTTCTACCTCCTAAGAGTTACTGTAAGAATTAAATCAGTTAAGATATGTAAAAGGTCTTAGAACAGTGCCTAGTTCATAGCGAGAGCTACATAAGTGTTCATTATTACTGCTATTCAGAGACTAAAATATGGACTGAGAGGTGTGGAGCAGGCTGACCTAATAATATGTTTGTTAAGCTCTCAATTGTTGTCAGCACTGAGCTGAGCACATTGCATGAATTATCTGTTTGAAACATCCTAAGCAAACCACTTGAGGACTACCTGACTACCCTGTCTAAAACAGCCTCCACCCACATACCCTTGCCCTGCCTTTTTTTTTTTTTTTAAGATTTTATTGTTAAGTAATCTCTGCACCCAATATGGGGCTCAAACTCACAACCTCAGGACCAAGAGTCACATGCTCTACCAACTTAGCCAGCCAAGCACCAACCCCCTTTTATTTTGAGATTTTATTTTTACCTTGCCCTGCTTTAATTTGCTTCATAGTCCTCACTTCTACCTGAATTTCTATATATTTATTTATTGCTCCTCTCAATACATTGTTGCATTTTAGATCCACTAAATGACAAGCTCGAGAGGACAGGGATTTTGCCCCTCTTATTCATCTTCCAAAACAGTGCAGCATTGGTGGTATAGTGGTGAGCATAGCTGCCTTCCATCTTCCAGAACAATGCATACTCAATAAATGTTTGTTGGGCAAGTGAACAAATTATCCCCATTTTACATATAAGGAAGCTGAAGCTTAGTAAGGTCAGGTCAGGTCATTCTGTATACTTGACATGAAGCATCTACTCTTGAATATTCTGGTTCCCTGCCTCAGGTTTTCCAATTAAGCCATACATTTGATTCAGGGAGCTCCATCCTACCGTGTCTGTGCCTCACAGGCTTCCTCCATATCAGACCTGGAAATCTGGTACCATGAAGGATAAATCCTGAAGATCAGTCACTGCCCTGACCACTTTGTTATCCAGCAAATTTAGATTCATAAAAACCAATAGTCTCTATCCCATGAAGTGCAGCCAAAGACACATCATATTTAAAAAGTCTTGCTTGCGGGGCACCTGGGTGGCTCAGTGGGTTGAGCCTCTGCCTTCGGCTCAGGTCATGATCCTAGGGCATCGGGCTCTCTGCTCAGCAGGGAGCCTGCTTCTCCCTCTCTCTCTGCCTGCCTCTCTGCCTACTTATGATCACTCTCTCTGTGTCAAATAAATAAATAAAATCTTTAAAAAAATAAAAATTAAAAAAGTTAAAAGCCTTGTTTGCATGAATGGAGTACGTAGTACTTAGCAATCATCACCCTGAAAAAAAGTAGCGGTCTCAGACTAAGAAAAAAATAGCTAAACTAAGGCAGGTATAAACCACTCCTAATCAGAGTGCTCAGCAACACCACACCAAAAACTGTTGGCCCAGGCTTTTACAATCACAAAGACCTGAATTCCAGTCTTTGCTTTCAATTCTTAGCCTGGAGATGAAAGGGCTTTGTAAACTCTAAAGTACTATGCATATATGACTGGTTTTGTTATTAAGTTACACACTGTCACCTGTGAGGCAAAGTGCTCTACCCAGAGTGTAGCTGGACCCACCACATAGTAGGGAGTGGGGGGATAAGTAATGCCCAGTCTGAAGGCAGAGAAGCTTCCCAAACTACCAGTAGTCATGTGCCCAGCTGCCCTCTCAGAAGAGGACTCTGCATACAGACATCCAGTTCCAGTTCCCGCTGCAGAAGGCAGCCCCTGGGTCCCAAGGGTAAAGATCCCAAACACCATCCCTGAGGCTAATTTTCTAGGCAGAAACTCAGCTCCCTGCCTGCTTCATGCTCACATCTGGGTGGCGGTTGTACCATACTCCAAGCCCCAGGTTGGGGTCTCCAGGGGCCATCTCTATCCCGCCTGCCAGCTGAGCCCTCCACTGCCTCCTCCAAGACCCCTCCTGTTCCTTCCTGGGGAATACAGGCTCTGCTAGCTGCCTGTCAGCCCCTGGAGCGGTCAAGGGCACTAAGAAAAAAAAAAAAAGAAGAAAGAAAGAAAGGAAAGAAAAAAGACGGCTTGAAAGGGTCCTAATCCTTTCCTATTACAAACTGAGCTCAAACACCAGCTGCACAGAAGAGGGTGAAATTAGGTGGTGACCAGGGGGGGAAGGCCAGGGATGGTAGCTGGGGCCTCCGATGACCTGGAAGAGATGAGGTTGGGAGACAGCGGGGGTAGAGAGGGGGAAACAGTTGGAGCCTGAACCATTCCCAAATCTGGGACGTGGGCGGATTAGGGACACAGCTGGCCTTACGCCCCAGTGATGGGGCTCATGGAAAACATTTGTCTGTTGTGCAGGGTGGCAAGAGATGAAGAGGGTTTTGAAAAGCTGGGCCCGCCAGCAAAGTGTTCTGAACAGTCACTATTGAATAAAAATCAATCTTTGTAACAGAAGTACATGAAGATTAGAATTGTCTTTCCAACCTGCCCATGGTCATGAAGCTGCAGCCATTTTAGACCTTTTAAACACAAATGATAAACAGGCTATGATAAGGAAAATTACTATTCATACAATGGTATGTCCTTCTAGGCAATTATTTTTAGTAGTAGTACTTGAATTGTTCACAGAAAATATAGTTAAATAAGGGCCGCCTGGCTGGCTCGGTCAATGGAGCATGCGACTCTTGGTCTCAGGGTTGTGAGTTTGAGCCCCAGGTTGGGTGTAGCGATTACTTAACAATAAAAAAAAAAAAGAAAATATAGTTAAATAAGAGAAAAAGATTTAAATCATCCTAAAATCATCAATCAGAAATAACTACCACCAATATTTTGGAGGTGGACTTCCCTTCTAATACCTTCTCTTATACGTACACTTTTTTTATGTATATTAAATTTAGTCATACAAAATTGCTGATCGTATAAGTTAAAAATGGTCAAGCAACAGATACTGTGTATAGTTCAACCTGATGCTTTTTTCAAACTTAAATCATACTGTTTTGGAACTGAGTTTTTCCACCTAATAATATATTGTGACATTTGCATCACCATTTTTAGTAGTGCCCTCAAGCGGATATACCATAATTTAGTTAACCTAGATGTCCAATATTTAGGTTTACTGTTCCATCTTTATCTTGTTTACTCAACAAACATCCTTTTATCTAAGCATACCTATGATTACTTTTTTTAGGATGCACTGATTGCAGTGTTGTTGGTTTTTTTTTTTTTTTCAATTATTGCACACAAGGCTGCCTGTTCTGGTCATTTCTGAGATAAAGGCCAAAGAAATCAGCATATGCAGTGATTTTATACAATACCTTGTCTTTGTATTTGAAAACACAGAGCATGCTTTGACCTCTGCAACACAATGCACTTTGCTTGCAAAATTGCATTGAGCTGGGTCCTAAAGCACACTAAGACCAAAAAATGTGACTGAAATACATACTTTGGAGTTGGCAAGTGATGTCCTTTCTGCTGTGAAGACACTCCAAGAAACGAGGAGCAGAAGGGAAGGAAGTTGAAACTGTAAGAGGACCGCATAGACGGTAGCTAAGACACTCCTCTAGGCCTCTAGATTCACAAAATGTTAAAACTGGATAGGCCCTTGGAGATCATCAAGCCCAAGCTGCAAACTCTTAAAAAGATTGGGAAATGGGTGCAGAAACCGGAAGGGACTTGTGCAAGGTCACATAGCAGAGAGTGGCAGAGCCCAAACTTGAACGCAAGTCTTCTGAACCACACTACTGGAGGCGGCGTCTGTTCCCTGCCTTCCCTGTGAGCCCGCTTACATCTCCCTTTCAAAGCTGCAGGCCAACCTAAATTCTACAGCCAGAAAAACCTAGAAATGTCTAGGCTGGAA